TATTGATAAATAAGTACGTAAAGATCAGTAGATTCTATGATTTTCTTCAGAACTGGAGAGAGGTATGCAAAGTTGGAACCACCGAGTGTGATTGATATGGAAAGCTTGACAATCCAATGGTATCATCAGGAGTAATTGGAATCAGCGGATGAGATTCAGTGATTCGATCACGAAATGGGTTCTTGGATCAATTCGAACCCTAATTTATGTTGCAGGTGTTTGTATCTCGGGTCCACCGTGGAAGCAGAAGCGGAAGAAGAAGGATCATTCCACGAAAGAGTAATATTACTGATATACCCCCATCTGCATTGATTTGATAACCGATTTTAGACTTTTTTTTTTTAATTTTATTTCTTCATTTTTTTTTTTTGCATAGTTTAATAACCTTTTCCTCTAACGTAGACCACATATTGGATCAAAAAAAACTTAGGTCACATATATTATTAATATAATAATGTTATGTATACATTAAAATACATCTAAATCAGTTTCACAAAATATTAATTAAACATGTTTTCAGAAAATTATTTTTTTAACACAACCACTTTTAAAAAATATATATCTATATTTATACTACTGATAAAAGTATCTTTTAATTTACTATTTTGCCCTTATAAAAAATTATAATGACTAACATATCCTTTTGTATTTAAATATCTACCTTATCATTATATCCCTATATTTTTAAATGACAAACTAATCTCTAATAAATCATATAAATCTCTATATCTTTACAAAAACTTTTAAATTGTCATAATATGTTTAACATGATATATAAAAATATATTATTTTTTTTCAAAATCTCATTATTAATACATGTTCACAACTTCATTTATACAATATCATTTCTAACGCCCAAAAATGCATGTATATAGTTTTTTTCTTTATTCACAATCAAAATAATTTGGTAAAAAACTATTGAGGCACAAAGTAAAAATAAGAAAGACCAAAAAAAAATTATAACCCTTATTATTAGGTAACTCGAATGAAAGAATGTTCATTAAATGTTTATAGTTATAAAAAAATACTAATAATTTAATTATGATAAATATGAAATAATATATAACTATAAATTTTATCAAATATTTTAACAAAAAAATTCACATGCAACGCACATAATGCGTAACTAGTATTATCAAAATATAAATTTGGTTTTATAACTTTTTGCGATAAGTTTGTTTTGCTTCTTTTGTTTGATCAATAACTAAACTTACACATTTTATTAAAAAAGGAAATTTGCCTAAAATTTTATCAGTCTGTTTATTTTTGTGTTTTAGTTTTTTTTTTTTTTTGCATAGCATAAACATTATATATGTCAATTTACCCAATAAAAAGGTTTGGATTTTATTGCATATCTCGTGCATAAAGCTGCTCTTATATTGGAAGGTAAATGATATACAATTTTACTTTCTTTTGAAAAAGATGATTTTCAGCAAATATTTGAACCTTACTATATCTAAACCTACATAGCAACTAGAATAATATTTTTTGTTTAATGGTCAAGTGGAGAGTATTTATAAGCTAAGTGATAGGATCTGAATAGATTAGACTCTTCCCACTAGTAATTAAAAAAAGTTTGATATATTTTCTCTATATCTTCATAAGAAAAAAAAACTTCATATGAAAAACGTATTGACAACATTTTTGTTATTAGTAGAGGAGTAATTCTCATCCAAAATAAGAACTAATGAGGTATTCAATTCATTTTTGAAACTAGCAAGGATTTTTCATATGAGCAATGCTATAAGAACCTAATGTCGAGACTTAATCAAAGATCGAATTCAATATAATCATTGAATTAATTATAAAGTTCAAAGTTAGATAAAATCTACCTTTAATCCAACAATTGTAAACGATTAAATCCCTAAACTTAGTTCAAATAGTGTTTTCCTTTCTTATAAGTAAGATGTGGGGAAAATTTTTTGTCGTGGCTAGTTATTTTGTCCAATAAATACAATCCAAACATAAAATTCATATTCATGTAACATTGATATCACTATATCTATTACACTAGTAGGAAATAGTTACCCTCCTTTGTGCTAATTTTTTTTTTGGCTAAATTGTTCAAATGAATTATCTGCCCTTATTTCATTTACTTCTAAAAGTCTCTCACCTCACCCCAGCCAAATATAACCTTGCCTTGCCTCCTTACTAGAGTAATGGAGACCTAAAAAAAATTCTTGATGATGTTGTAATAGGTCTGTGTTTTGATTTTATAAATCTCTAGGCATTGGGATGTCATTGTATAGTGAAAGTGTTCAAACTTTCTGAAACTACTAAAGCAGCCCTTTCGATTTGGAATGTAAGACTCAAATGCAACAGGAGAAGAAAGCCAAACAGTATACATAAAAATTTACCCACAGCATAGTAGACAAAAAATTTACCCACAACAACAACATGGTAGAGATAAAAAATTAACAACAAATGCAATATTAATTTTTATAAGGTTTTCATCTTACACTAGAATGACAGCATTCAGATACTCAGTAGGAGTCCAGTTCCAATTAGAGCAAGTTTCAGAGAAAACACCTGACCAATTCCTTGGAAAATTTCATCTACAAGTGATATATTGAGGAAGTTATCAAATGGAGAAATAACAAGAGGGTGAATGATCCACAGGCAACAACATGAATGGTTCCGAAGGGGGTATGTTTCTTCAGCACAATATACTCGTAGAGCAGAGATAGCATTTCTAATACCAAATTCTGAAGAGAAGCCCTGAAACGATAACATTTCCCGCAGAAGGCATATCCATCAAGGAGGCAATTCACTCAGACAGGTAAATTTAACTGGCAAGTTTGAAAGCATCAATGAAGAGACCATAAGTGAAACCCATCTTGAAGTTGTTCAGGAGAGCAAGGGGGAAAGTCACCTTTGGCCGGCTGTAATAGAACCTAGTTGCGTACTCTGTAAGGAGAACACACAATACCGCTGCAATTACATCATTGACTCCCAAAGCTCCAAATGAGAGGGAGATAGTCTGTGCCACATAAAAGCCACCCAATAAGGATATACCCCCAAAAAGTGCCCTCCGAGGACGACTTCTGAAGTAGTTCCTTGTGATTTCTGGAACAATTCGAACAATGTCAACCAGTCGTCGAGGCCCTTCATTCTCTTGCACAGCTCGGATACTCAATAGTTCACCAGACGAAGATCTTGAAACAAATGTCCTCCACTTTCCATGGCCATGCATAGTCTTGGTTCCAGAAATTGACCCAAATTTGAGCAGGCACGTAGAAATCAAACTCAGGGTGTGCGCCATTCAGATTATCAAATAGAGGGTATCAAACAAAATGGATTTCCCAGAAGACAAGAACAGAAGCAAGGTTTTATGTGAGCTTCCCACAAATGGACTTTCTTCATAATAACACCATCAAGACACAATCAATCTGCTGTATTTTCACGGTAGAAAGCACAATTAAACACAACTGCTCAGGCATTGATGATCATCATATAGAGGGAACCAATCCAACAATCAGAATTACTTTCCTAGGAAGACAATAATGGAAGAAGGGTATTTAGTGAGCTTCCAACTTCCAACAGATGAAATTCCTTGATAATACGACCATCAAGACACAATCAACGCTGTACTAGCACAACAAACAGTACAATTCAACGTAATTCCGGGGAATCTTATTACTCATCAGTGATCAGTTGGACAATCTAGAAAATCTTCGCTTGTTAGGTAAATTGGGTACAAACAGAATAAGCAAAGTATGATATTCATAATGGAAATTCGAATTTTAGTACCTCTCCAGCCAAAAAAAAAAAAGATTGGTAGTATTACTCTGTAGATAATTCACAGACAGAGAGAGTAAATTGAGGTTATAGAACTTTCCGAACAAAAAAGTTGAGGTTCTATAAAGGATAAGTGATTCAACATGTATCAAAACACAATTGTTCATCAAAAATATTCGAATATATGCCAGTTAGGCCAATTGAATGTGCAAGATAAAGCATCAGATGCTAGATTTAGGTCAATTAATCGCTAAAAAAATAAGAACAACAACAAAGCTAAATTACAATAATAATCTAATCTTACCTACATAACTGAAACAGGAAACAAACTTGCACAGTCAGAGAGAGAGCGAGAGAACAGTTCCTATACGACCTCGTATAGTGCTTAAAGTATAGAGAATCCCTACTCCCTAGATGTAGAATCTGCTCTCTTGCTCTATCTTACCGGAAACTTGGAAAGTATGGAGAACAGTTCCTATACGACGTCGTATAGCGCGAGAATTCACAATTCAGGTATAACCCGAAATATAAATAAATAATATATATATATATATATATATATATATATATAATTTAATTATATTTTAAATTGTTATTGAATTTATTTTAAATTTAAGTTGATCAAGCTCATGTAAAAAATTAAATTCAAAATTAAACCCGAACTATGAACTTGAATTAGTTAGCCGGTAGAACAAATTAAATAAATTTAAAATTAATTTGAGTAATATTTGGGTTGAAAATTTGGCCCAAATTGAATTAAAATTAAAAGTTTTATAATTGTGATTTGAGTTTAGATGGATCCTCTAACCTTTTCAGTCTGCCCAAATTGCACTAGATGAATTAGATAGACCAAGGTCTTTGTCTTTGTGCTGTTCTTGCGCTAGACGACTTCGTATAATAGTGACTGTTTGACTTTCTGGATTCCAATGGAAGAAGAAGACTATATGATGGGCCAATGCATCTTTTCTTTTCCATTATATTTGAACCAAGCCCCCTCTAAATACCCATAATTTACAAACATGATTTCAACTTGCCCAACACTATCATCTGTACAACCCGAGAGCAGAATTAATCCATGAGGAGTGAGTTTGAGTCTACTCCAAAGAGTTCAAATTAAGATTTTATTGAATTGAGTTAAATTAAATTTACTAAATAAATTTAAACTCAAATTTAGATCGGTGTTGTTAATTACCTAATTTTCTATATGGTCAAACTATGGTCTATCTAGTGGTAGCTCAACAACTTGATAAGTGTTTTTCCAGGCATAGATGAAGGATTTAAATATTTTATGCAGTGGTCACCCTCTGGTGGTGTCACTGCCTATACATTTATCTCTTTGTGTGGAGAAATAACTTTACACAAGGTCGGACAATTGGGTTATAAAAAAAATT